TGTTTCAAGCCAAGCCAATCCCAGGGAGGCCGGATCTGCCTAACATGGGGCACCTAGCGCGCTCACAGTGGAGCGCTCACTTCCAGACAGCGACACTGGTTAAGGTCTTGGTTGCGATATAGTCTGAATGACCGGTTACTTGCGAAGATGTAGGCGGGGAAGCGACAGTTGTATGTCATGCGCGCCATCTGGTTGCAGGGGACAACATGTCATCTCACGCAACCTTGGTTGGGCTACCGAAGGGCTCACTAGCACACGTTTCCAGATTGTTTGCCATCATCAGCCAGTCATTCACAAAATGCGGGCCTAAACACCTACAAGTGGATTTAAGGTGAGACATATTTTTGTGTCCTGTACCGTCAGCAAGTCATGTCGTGGTGTGTGCCTGGAATGGACTCAACAGCCACCGCATGAACACTGTCAACGTTCGTACTACCCTATGGAATGGACTGACCCCGCAGACCTTAAAATCCCAGGGAAACCTCATTTCCCTCATGGAGGGGACCTCCGGGCTCCCTTTGATTGGTTGTCTGATACACAGCCCACTAACAGCGAAACGCCACCAGCGTTGTTTAGGGGACGGGGGGGGGTTATGTCAACGCGCGTTGAATAATCCAGTGTGCCAGGGTTGGTGAAATAACACAGTCCCGGCGGAAGTCGAAGTCGAAATGAGCACACAGTCACAGTGCGTGCCATCCCCTCCAGATGCGCAGCGGTGCACGGAGATTCTGCTACAAAACTGCCCTGCACGTCAGAACAGTATATAAGAATCTGTGCAGCTATGCGTGCGTGTGTCTTTGTTTTCCTCCGATTTGTTTTCCTCTCTAGCACTGCGCACATCCCATCTCAGACAGCTAGGCGGTAGCCTGTTGTTGGCAGTGGGGGGGAGTGCGGTCGACCCTAGGCGCATTACCTTCCTCACTAAAATCGATCTGATGCGCTTGAAAGTATCACGGGGCGCTAAAAGCCGTGGCTTGGAAGGTTGCCAACTGGCAGGATAACTTGGACACCGCAGTCAGCCCAGTGTGCCTTGATGTGTGGAGTGGCTGTCTGCGGCCTGAAAGTCAGACCTAATGGCTCCTCCTTAATATGGCTTTTATGGCGCTCCCAGTCGGGAGCGTACCTAGCGAGAGGTGCTGTTGGTACACGTGTTGAGTGTTGGTCGCGCCAGCCGTCTGCGCCCTCCCCCATCTCCGGCCTTCTTGACTTTATCTTGACAAACGGATCCCGGTCAGAGAGTGGAATAGAGTCTCCGCGAGTCTACTTTCGCTACATATCTCGCGGAGGTCACCGCGTTGCTTCAACTCGTTGAAGCTCGC